GGGTGATATAAAATGGCGCATTTCTTATATTTTGTTTAGATTTTTTAGTTTCCTCCTGTTATAAAGGGTTAAATTTATTATTAGTGGAATGGAAATGGCTTGGATGGAAGAGTAATAATGCTGAATTGTTAACAAGCGACATGGGATGACAAAATGGCGCCGAATTTTGACAAAGTTGTTGATTTACCTTGTCGATGGTTAAACAGGTATGATCTACTTGAAACCAAGTTGAAACTTGTTTAAAATGTTCTTGATACCATTATGTCTGAGATGATTTACATTTTTTGTAGGATATCGACGAGATCGCCGATAAACAGCGGAGTAAAGTGGAGAACTTGGCCAAATACGTCCATTTGCAGGAGGTAGGCACATTTCAAATTATTAGTTCGCTCAGAAAATATTAACTATTTTACACCAAACCAGTGATATATTTAAATAAGTACCATTTATGTTTCTATCAAAAAGATTTAGGGAAAAGGTAATGTAAGTCCACTGCTGTTTATCTGAATTTGCAAGCCACAAATTGACGTTTAACTATGATTATTGCATGGCCATTTTCATGTGAAATATTAGTGCTAGGCATTTCACACTTACCAATGACCACCCCAATAGTACCATCTTTGAACCATGTAAGCACCTCAGAATAGCCAAAGTTTTTATGGTTTGGTAGATAGCAGTATGGCAAAAGCGTCGTTTTTGGGTGTGGTCAGTTTCGGACGTTTCGTCCCGGATTGGGGTTCGGGCAGCGTTACCATGTTGACCGTCATGGTCAACTTGCCCTAAAACAGTTGAGATTATCTGTCCTAAATGAAATGCATACAAACTCATATACAGGTCCTAGACTACGTTCCGTAAGCCCGGAGTGTGGGTACTAATTCCGCTCGGCTATTTACACCTGGGAAAGGAAACGAAAGCATTAGGGAAGTTTAAAGTTCATCAATAATCGCGGGCGCATGACTGTGGTTCATGCATGGGTGTATGGGTGGCACTGATTAGTGATCATCTCACTGATCTCAAAATATGGCTGTTTGCCTGGAGTGAAGGCAACCTCGTTCCGGCAAAAATATTTTAAAAAAACATGTAGTAAAGCTTGGAAAATCGTTTCCCATAACAATTTTTTTTTCAATTTTTAAACGTAATCATTAAGAATTGATTTAGTGTGAGGAATCCTAAAGAATAGGGCAAGTTTGTTTCAACTGTTTATGTATGATCTTGTATTAATTAATAGACTTTGTTTTTATAAATGTTCAAGTGTTTCCTATGCATTGTATGCAATTAGTTAGGCCTACATTAACTTGAATCTTGATAAAATTTTGTTGAATTGAAGCTCATGATAAAAAGGAAAGCATATTATTTTCATTAGCGTCTTGTATGTTTAAATTTATTTCATTTCAAAGTGCGAATACTATCAAAGTTGAAGCTCGAGTTGAAGAGTTTATAAATATCGGTAAAAAGCAGTTACTTTCAATTCATATTTAAAAACGTTTTACGAACAGTTTCGTGTTCAACTTGACATTAACATAAATCCCATAGAACGCAAAATAACATACCTATTTTATGTATTTTAGAAATTGATAGTTGTATGGTTGAAAGTGTTCAAGTTTCAATGTTTCATTAATTCTTGCAATTTGTACAGAAACTGATTTAAAAAAAAAACAATTATCGTGTTGCCAAGACTAACATGACGTGGCAACGCGACCTTGCCTTCATTGTTGGCGTAATTACGAATACTTCATGTTGAAACAATGTTTCGAAATTATAAGCGAAGTGTTGCTGCATGTATTTCTAGTAAAAATATATTTAGGAAAAAATAAAATCTAGTCATTGCATGGGGTGTGAAGTTATGATGTATACTGAATCAGCATTTGACATGTGATGGTGTATTGTCATTTTCGTGTAAAATATTAGACCCAGACATTTTTTCACTGCCCAATGAACCACTCTGAACACCATAATAACTGATATGTGTAACTTCAGTGACCTAGTAGACAGGGCTATCTTGCAAGCGCCGTTTCAGGGTTTGGTCATTCTCGGACGATTCGTCCCGGATTAGGATTTTGACACATATGCCATGTTGTCCGCCATGGTGAATATAGTACCTTAAATATGACGGATAAAAACTAATGGATAAAAACTCGTAAACAGGTCCTGGACTTTTCCAACAGTTGTAGCAATAGTGGGAGCAGCAGCAGCAGCAGCAGCAACAGCAGCAGCAACAGCAACAGCAACAGCAACAGCAGCAGCAGCAGCAGTAGTAGCAACAGCAGCAGCAGCAGAACTTTGCAATAGTAGTAGTAATAGAAGTAGCAGAAATAATAACAGAAGTGGTAGTACCGATAGCCGCAGCAGTACTAGCAGTAGCAGGTTTAATAGCGGTAGCAGCAGTACTATTAGTAATAGCAGCAGCATGCAATAGCAATAGCAATAGCAATAGCAATAGCAATAGCAATAGCAATAGCAATAGCAATAGCAATAGCAATAACAATAGCAATAGCAATAGCAATAGCAATAGCTATAGCAATAGCAATAGCAATAGCAATAGCAATAGCAATAGCAATAGCAATAGCAATAGCAATAGCAATAGCAATAGCAATAGCAATAGCAATAGCAATAGCAATAGCAATAGCAATAGCAATAGCAGACTAGCAGTATAGTAGCAGTAGCTGAAACAGCAGGTAGCAATAGCAGGGTTAATAGCGGTAGCAACCCCAGTGGTTGTTGGAGCCGTAGCAGTAGCAGTAGCAGAAACAACTGTGCACTTTATACGGAAACTGACGGAAAGCTTTTTGACTTCTTCTGTATGAATTATGTGCTTGAAAGACAATTTTATCTGCGTGCGGAACAAATCGAAATATTTTTTTCACGATTTTTTCACAAATAGGTTAATCACTGCATTGATTTCCAATGCCATATTATTTGAACTTAACCCTTTACAGGTCAGGAAGTTTTCCATGTTTTGGCACGTAACATAGTTTGGCGTTAGCCTGAGTAACATGACAATTTAAAGTTGCCAATCTGTTACAGGCGTATCGACGTGGCACAAGCTACCGGCCCTCCAATGGAAAGCTTGTGTTAGAGAAAGACTGGATGAAGCAGGAAGACGCCTACGACCAAGGTATACAGCATATCCTGAAGGATCCCGAGCACAACATATGCAAAATAGTGTATTGGTTTCATATTTTTGGTGGAGGCTACTCCTTGATGTGTTGGGAGGCCCCAAAGGATACGCCTATGACTTTCAAAGAGCAAAGTGGGGGGCATGTGCTATTTTTCAGTGAACTTTGCTTCAAGTGGAAGGACAAAGTCCCCTTGCGAGGGTAACAAGAACGATTAGCTCAACTCAAAGGATCACAATGAAGCATGGTACTTTTTAAAAGTTTTTTTTTAATTAAGTCTGGCAAGACAGATATTCTGGAATTCCGCAGGTCAAAAACTAAAAATACAGCGAAATTTTTGAAGTCACTTCCGCGGAAAAAATTCCCAAATATGCGGTGCATATTTTCCATATTTAAGGCCATAAATGAACTTTCACAGCTCAAAATTGTATTATTTGTTTACTTACCATCATACAAGAAGAAATGCATTCAGTGGAGCAGGAAACATTTTATTATACAAGAAATCTGGCGTATTAATATGTAGTGTAACATTAATATAAGCAAATTAAACAATTATTTTCCACTTGTAAGAAAACATTTCCTGCTTCTCAGGAAATACTGACTTTTTCAATGCGTTTATCTTACTGAAACAATTTTGTGATCCTCTTCGTGTGGCCATTTATTTGCTCTTCAACATATACTTCTTAGGTATAGAACATCAGGGGCGTAACTTGGGTATCAGACGAAAAGGAGCGTGAACAGTAGTTCTACACAAGTATTTGCTAATGTATATTCTAAATATGCACTATTACTATAACATCATCGTCAAGGGTATGGATGTCAATACAGTCATTTAAATTCGATGTATCTATCATGTTGCAAAACGAATAACGAATTACTATTTTTATAGAATTAGGCAAGCGGAGACATTAGCACAAACAAAAATGCCGAATAGAAATTTATAGAGTTATTTGCTTTTCTGCTTTCCAGTTTGTATACGATAAATCGATAATGTTACTGAAGACTAATTATTAAACTTTAGAATTTAGTCTTCAGTTTCCGATTCTTTTTGCTAGCCCACACTTTCAGTGCTTCGTCCAGATCGACTTTGTCTGTCAAATCCTTTTCAGCTGCTAAGACAATCAAATCTTCGAGACGTTCGTCTGACATGGTTGATCGCAGGAAATTCTTGATGATCGTCATCTTGCTGAACGTCCTCTCATCTTTTGCCACGCTGACTGGCGCAGTAAACAAAAGCTTTAATACTTTAAAAATCGAAGGAAAGATCGACTTGTGTTCATATGCCAGATTACAGACATCATGAACGGACTTGAATGGATCTTGGCTCCTGCCAACGATCTGTGGAAATATTTCAAATTCTGCTTCTAGACAAGCAGGATCGACAGTATCAGATCGCGGAAACAGCTTGGAGATTTCGTCGGCTTGCTCGAAATCCACGCTTGTAATCGGAGATTAAAGAACGTCTGCAAGAGGTTGAATCTTTTCCAAGCATTGTTGGACGTTTTCTTCGAACTCCGTAATAAGTGAATCGAGTACTTCAATCATAAGCTTTCAGTAGTGGGAAAAAATCTCAATGGAAGCTGCGGTATCTGGGTTGTCATCCTGTCCTCTGCTCATCCTTCTCACTCTTTTGCGACGAAAGTCCTCTTCAGGATCCTGATCGAACGATTTTGCAAATTCAACACTAGCTTTCACTTGGTTATTCATTTCTAACTCGTTTCTTCTTATCGTTTCTAAAGAAGCAACAGTTTCTTCGATTGCCATGAGAGCATCTGAACGTCCTCTCATCTTTTGCCACGCTGACTGGCGCAGTAAACAAAAGCTTTAATACTTTAAAAATCGAAGGAAAGATCGACTTGTGTTCATATGCCAGATTACAGACATCATGAACGGACTTGAATGGATCTTGGCTCCTGCCAACGACCTGTGGAAATATTTCAAATTCTGCTTCTAGACAAGCAGGATCGACAGTATCAGATCGCGGAAACAGCTTGGAGATTTCGTCGGCTTGCTCGAAATCCACGCTTGTAATCGGAGATTGAAGAACGTCTGCAAGAGGTTGAATCTTTTCCAAGCATTGTTGGACGTTTTCTTCGAACTCCGTAATAAGTGAATCGAGTACTTCAATCATAAGCTTTCAGTAGTGGGAAAAAATCTCAATGGAAGCTGCGGTATCTGGGTTGTCATCCTGTCCTCTGCTCATCCTTCTCACTCTTTTGCGACGAAAGTCCTCTTCAGGATCCTGATCGAACGATTTTGCAAATTCAACACTAGCTTTCACTTGGTTATTCACTTCTAACTCGTTTCTTCTTATCGTTTCTAAAGAAGCAACAGTTTCTTCGATTGCCATGAGAGCATCTAAAATGTTAAGCTCTTCCTTCTGCATTTGAATGGTAAGCATTTTGGTAATCTTCATAATGTACACCCAGCGAGTCTTGGAAAGGTTACGCAGCTTAAGCGCATTCTCTTTTTTCTTCAGCTCTTTACGAAGAACATCATCTCGCTTGCAACTTTTACTGAAGAAGATATAGAATGCTTCCAATAGGTCATACATCTGAGTAAACAACGTTGTTTTCGAGCAGTGTTCGATGAATGTATTAGATCGGTGACCCTGACATGAAATGTGCGGAACGCTACGGCCTATCAATGTTTGCAGGCATTTTTGAGCTCCTTTAAATTTCCCAAACATGGACGCAGTGTAATCGTAGGACTGATAAACCAGTCAATCTTGGCTTCCAATTTTTGAGTTGATCATGAGCGACTGCAAGACTTCTTTCGCTTGACCATCACCAGACTTGTGCTTAGTTTCCTTCATTTCTAAAACTCGTTCTTTAGGCTGATTTTCTTCATTGACATACCGCACCGCCAAGACAAGTCTATCAGTATTTGCTGTGTCAGGGGAGGTGTCAGCCATAACTGAATACATTCCTACAGATTCAATTTAATTGACAATTCGGCCTTTGACATCTTCAGCCATTATGTTGATGAACTCATTTTGAGAGATAGCAGATAAATATTTCACAGAATATGGCTTCATCTTTTCACTTGACCACCAATTCTTTAAATGGCTGTTATGGCGCGCCACAAGATTTGTTATTTGGAGAAAATTTCCATCACATCATCACTAATGCCTCTGAATGCCAGTTGTTGTCTTCCTAATGTTCTACCGATGTCCAATAATATCATTAATATCTCCTGGTTTCGTTGGTTGTTTTCTTCCTCTTGAATTTTAGCCGCCCTCAATTGCTTATTGAGCATAACATCGACATGCTTCATGTTGTGTGCAAATTGGGCAAGATCGCTTAATGCAGCTTTATGCGCTTGGATGAGAAGTGCTGTGCTATTTTCCCTTTCTTTTCCTTGCCGACGCTTTTCATTTTGTCCTATCCTTTAACTCCTTTAACACAAGCATCAGAAGATCTCTCTCTGCCAACTCCAGTCGGAAATAGACAGCAAACAAAACACGAGGCTGTGTCTTCTTTCACGCTATACTCTGGATGTGGATATTCCTTATACCACCCGCTTGAAAATCTACACTCTTTTTTTGTTGAGACGTCTTGGCTTTCTGGATAACGCTTCAACTTTGGCTGGTAGGGGCCATTCTCGATGATCTTTTGTTTCTGTTGGTCGCTGAGTGTCCGAGAGCGGTCAGCAGGATATTGAAGAGAGGTAAAATCAATTTCTAGGTTACTTTCACGAATTTCGTGAAGCGTAGTTGCACAGTTTTTCTCCATATTTGTTGAATGTTCTCTTCCTTTTGAAATTGCCTCAAGTACATCCGTCAACAGTTCTTCAGGGTAAATAACCTCAGATGATAAAGCTTTTGTTATAATACTATCGCACTGGTGAGAGTAATTTTCTAATCGCTTAATTTCTGCTGCATGGACTATCCAAGGAATCTCTGGATCGTCTGAGACTTGTATGTCAGGATCATCGCGTGCTCTACCATAATTCGTGTTAATTGTTTCACTGTCAGTGTCAATCTGTTGTCAGTAAAAGATAAATGTAGTAAGGCGGCAATGAGGATTAATTAAAAGAGTGAGCTATACATATAGCATGTAAGATGATTGTAAGAAAAAATATAGATAACTTTTTTGCGAGTTTCTAAGCAGGTTGGAAATAACTTGGAATTATACTAGATATTTCCCGTACTTCTTTATGCGGTAAAGTTTTAAAAATATTAAAAACAACATTTGAAAATGTTCCATGAAACTAGCACTCCATGTAAGTGTAACGTCTATTGCGATTAGAATTACAATCACCTCTTCTTCCTCTGATTCTGAAATTGACAATATTGTACGTTGATACTGCCTGTGCCTGGTTCACATCGTCATAAGACACCGTTGTATTATACTCATCACCTCTTTCGTCATTATATATGTTATGAACTGCCGTTTCATGATGATAAAATTCAAGGACTGATTCTCCGTGCATCAATACTTCATCTTCATCAACATGTTCAATTTGAACTTCCTGTGTATAATGACGATATTCAAATTTATAATGACAAAATTTAGTTATATTCTTATAAATTCGGAAGAAAATTTCCTAATTCTTGTTTAAACTTCATTTACCTCTTGAAATACATCCTCCTGGTGTTCTAAAACTGTATCACTGAATGACTCTTCGGACTGACGATTAGTGTTGTCGGTAAATGTAGCTACTGGAACTGGAAGTAACTCTTTCTGAAATTAACAACAGATTGTAATATAACGATGGCATCAAATTCAATCGGTGAAGAAGAACTTTAAGTTAGTGCAAAGTTTAAGGTAGTTCCCGTTAAAACCATAGCGGCATCAGCCATCAGGGAATTTATTCTTACCTTGCCATATATATTGTTGCAAAATTGAAGCGTTGTTTGAGCCAGTTTAACCACAACTTTTGAGGTGCCGAGACCCTTGTGTTTGTTTGAGTGATGCTTCTCAAAATGATCGCTGTTCATTTATTTCCCACATTTATTGCATTTGACTTTACATCTGTACTGCCTTTTCCGTCGAGTTTTTAGCTTTTTTTGAGGAGGGTCCGGTGCAACGTCTTTGTCTTATCGAAACAAGATCGAAAAAATCGAAAGGCAAAATCAAATCGGGCACTTTACAAATTACAAATTACAATTTGCAAACATTCAACAGTGATGTTATAATTGATATTAAAATTATAAATTATAACATACCATCCATTCATTTGCATATTATGCCGGATACACGTTAGCACGTCGTGAGCTGTGAGCAGATATTTAAAACATAACAACACGTCACAAAAAAGCACTAAACCGTGAATAAACTCTCACAATTACACATTTACACGTTTTCGATGTTGAGCCCGCGATATCATCGTCAAAGTTTATTTAGTACTTCATTTCTTGCTAATTAAAATGCATGATCCATGCAAACACACTAAGAACAATGCTAAAAACAAAACTCGATTGTCGGTCAATCTTCAAATATTGCAATACGGTCTTTTCGTTGTTTACCTACAGTAAAGCAAGGTAACCTTGCCCAACAAGTAGCACGTGCTTTGAATAAGTCCCCCCCCCCAAGAGTTACGCCCCTCTAAGAACATTTTCAGAATACAAATATATTGGCGGATAACTACAGATTGCGTAGAATTTACAAAACGATTAAGATAAAATTCTATGCAATTTACAGTGTTAAATATTATAGAAATAACTTTTTAAAAACTTCTCTTTAAAAGACTAAACAAACTTACATGATAAAGGAATGAAAGTGTTTAGAAATCTCTTAGTCTTAGTGGAAGTTCATATGTTCATTGCCATCTTGCAATGTTAGAAATAACAGGTTGTGAAGCTTAATATGATATTTGTTTCTTACAACTGAATTAATGTAACGTACGTTTGACACAAAGATTTTGGTGTCAAGCAGACAAATTGCCTGGACGCGAAGCCATACAGTAAGCTGTCTTGATATGGAACACTTGGGAATACGATGGATAACGCGTGGCATCATATAATGGAAATCTTGTGCGCCATTACTTGCTGCTTCGATATACCTCCTGTGACCGGTTGTTCAAATTAATGCTGGATTAGCGCAGTAGCGCTAACCTTGGATTAAAATTTAATTCGCTGTTTTGGTTTTGGTACATTTTTACTTCTGCATGTGTACAACAATCGGCTCCAGGAATCATTAGAATTAATTAAAAAAGTGAGCTTTTCCCATCGTATTCCCAACAGTTCCTTATACCAAGACAGCTAACTGTTACGCTTTTGGTTTTTACGTCGTGTCTTCCTGTTGCGATGACTCATTATTTGGACCTGTGGCATTTATAAACGGTTAAAACAGCAATCTTTATTACCTATAGTGATGGCAATTGATGGCGTTGCTCGCGTTTGATGGCGTCGTGGTTACACTTGCTGGCTCGCGCCTGCGCATGAAAAATCTAGGACATAATTTTGGCTAAGTGAGGCTTCTGGTCTATTTTCTACTCTGTGCTTCCATGCCGCCATGGCAACACGATAACTTTAATTTTTATTAGACTGAACGAACACGGCAAAAATAGTCGAAAGACTATTGCTTTTAGCAATATAACAATGAAATTCCGAAATCGCTTATGTACTGTAGGTATGTTGTTCTGGATTTTGTGAGCTTTAATTTAATGTAAAATTTAACCTGAATCGCTTCGTAAAATGTTTCGAAATGTCCATTTCAACAACTAAGCTGCTTTTGCCGATTTATAAACTGGTTTTACTTGAAATTGTTGAGTAATTTCATTTAGGTCTTCAAATTAATTTGCTCTCCTTTATATTTACCTTTAGTTTTTTTAAATTAAACATGGTAATTTTGGAAACTTACAGCTTCCTTGAAAAGCATGAGGACCCGCACGACCAAAAATATGACTATTCCACGGCAGACTATTCCACGCGACAGCCCCACGGTAGGAGAAGCTTCTTTTTAGAAAATCTGTTTTTGGCTTAGGAAGACTTAATTTTAAATTGTTGCTCCGTGATGAATAATTAGAATTGTCACATTTACGAAACAATGTTGTTAAGTAATTAGGCGCCATGTTTTTTAGAACTTTAAACATCATTGTTAGATCTCGTTTGTCCATGAGATTTTTTATTGGATGCCATTGAAGGGTTTCAAAAACTTGGGATGATCTAATAGTGCAGCTCTCTTTTGTAATTTCCATAATTTATCGATATGAGATTTGCTCCAGGAGTAGAGCATGATCAACCGTATCGAATGCCTTTTTAAGATCTATAAAAACTACTCCGTTAATCAGTCCTTTATCCACATAATTGATTGAATTGATTTTCCAAATAATTGAAGCAGTTAACGTTTATCTCGATTGTTGTCGACCAGTTTGGTATAATTTAAATAGGGTATACGTTTCGTCTGTTGACTCAGTTTTGTTTTGAATTTGCTATAAGCTAGGTAATTGACACGGAGACAGTGCCATCAACAGTTTGTCCACTGGCTGCCAACTATAGTATACTACATACTATAGTATGGCACTTTAAAAGAACGATGCTTTGGATGATGCTATTTCATGGGTTGAGGTTACAGGACACCCTTTTTGGCGTTTTGCGGAAAATCGCTACTGCGCGCTCAATATCAGTCCGATTTTAATCAAATTTTTACCAAATATTCGCCAGTGCATGCAAAATATGGTAAAGTTTTAAAATTAACAAACAATAAAATAATGTGAGAATTATTCAGGAAAATCTTAAATCGCGGTACCATTACGCTTTTGAGTTGTGCTCCTGGTGGCTTTAAGTTATATTTATGAAAATATCATTTTTATACAGTAAAATAGTTGATCTAAAAAATTGTGTTCGGAAATTTTTGTTTATTTCGTCTTTCCGCTGATATGGCGATTTCTTTGACGACTGCAATACATTTCCGAATTGTTTGAGTGAATTGCTCCTTATTATTAAGATATCCAAAATTTAAAAAAAAAACGAACACAATTTTGAAACTGACGTCTTTATCTATGTTCTGTGAAAATTTGAGAAAAATTGGTTAAAACCCGCAGGAGCACAACTCGTTTGAAAATCAGTAATTACCGTAAAATTCTTCGGGAGAAAATTGAATTTGAATATTACATTTTCAATGTTTTTTCTTATTGCAGCGAAATGTATTTTATTAAATAACTCTGCGAGTTTTCAACATTTTTCGTTGAAACTTGGTCAGATAGTAGAACTAGTCTAATGCTTCACGGAAACCAATAAAAAATTTTTTAGGCAAAATTAACACTCAAAGGTGTTCTGTAACCTTAATTGAATGTACTTTTGCCTGCCAAAAAGCATAGAACACTACAGGGTGTCCCAAAAAAACCCCGCAAAACCATTGAAATAACATATTGTTAAAATTTGAATGCCCTAGGCCTAGCACTATAAAGCTGAACCCAAAGATGCGTAAAATATTGACAAGGGTGCATATATTATATATTGACTTATTAAGAAATTAAAATATATTTGTGAAGCGCACGATTTTTTGCTCTTGGGAATTTAAAGCAGCTTCTTAAACGGTTTCTTTATGCATAAAATTTACTTATGTCAAGCTTTGATGCGTGCGTGGGTTCAGCACAACACAACACAACACAACACAACACAATACAACACAACACAACACAACACAACACAACACAACACAGCACAATACAATACAATACAATACAATACAATACAACTTTATTTGAATAATACACATGACAAATACAACACTCATATCCTGCAATAGTAAGCAAATCGCGGCAGGAAATGAATCTACTTAAATAATATTATATATATACAACTAATTTATATTGAGAATAAGGTAAATTATTTACAGAACGAGAGTTTAGATTCCGATTGGCTATGATAATTTTTAAATGAAAAATGTTATACATGACACAAATATATTCTTTTTGAAAGTATAATTATGAGAGTTATGATGAGCTGTTATGAAAGAGTACTGCATTAAATTATTTTCTAGGTAGGCAACACGTTGTGACTTATTGCTTCCCTAAAAATTTCAACGATCGGTTTAATTCTAGCGACTCGAGAGACAAAAATGTTTGCACACTTGACCGCCTCAAAACAACACATGTTTGATCAAACGTTCTTCTCACAAAGCAAAACATTGAGGTTGTTTGGCGCGAAAAATAAAAACAGTTACTGTTTGAAATACCGAGCTTTCACATTTCAAAGGTTTTCAAAGATTTAAAAAGTACTTTTAAGTACTATTCACTGCTGTTCAAGTGTCTTGTTGGAGTTTTTTAACTACAACATATTTACGTGAGTCAAATTTGAAGCAAACTCGCTTGTTTCGAGTATATTTTGGCAAATTTCGAGTATATTTTGGCAAGTTTCGAGCCGTTTGGTTTGCCGTTTGTAAATATGGAGGAAGGAATACAATGGACAAGAAACCTCAGTGGTATTCCCCCATTTACCCATGCATTATTGAAGGAATATTTGATAACTGACAACTTGAGTAAACTTGGAAAACCACCAAATGCTCACAAGCATAAAAAGTATGGCTATCAACTGTTTAAAGATAAAATGGTTACCCAGGTTGTAGTCAAGGCTAATGTTTTGAAAGGCACAGAAAAGTTTTTCCTGTTTAAAGGTGTTGTGTGCATGCCTCCATGAAAAAGGCACACTATGTAGTCTATGTTCATCTACATCAGGACAGTGGTAAAATATCTTGTGCAAGTTGCACTTGTACAGCAGGAAAAGGTGGTTGCTGTAAACATGTAGCTGCCCTGCTATTTCAAATTTTGGACTATATCCAACTTGAATTACCTGAAGTCCCAGATGATTTAACATGTACACAACTTTTACAACAGTGGCATGTTCCTAATACTAGTGAGAAACTTGATACTGCAGTGCTTTTCGACCAAGTAAAAATAAGCAAGGCAACTTCCAAGACAGAAAAACGTTATACAGCAGACTACAACAACCCAGCATCTGCTTTTGCTAAACATGTAAATGTTGAACACTTACGA